GGGAAAAATGCCTAATAACAAACTGATTAAAGTAACTCTAAGTTGAAGTATCTAAAGAAAGGAGAAATTGAGAATGGAAAGAAAATGAGGCAAGAGTATATACTGTACTGTAAAGGTAACAGAACTGGCAAAGACAATTGCTAACTATGCTGGTGTAGCCTTACACGACAGCAGAGTATTTGCCTCTCCTTGCACTGTACTGGCACAGGCACTGTATGCTGTAGCATTCATCTCTTGCCACTTTGTTACTAAAGCTGTACTGACAAATTTGAAGAAATACAGGAAAGATAAAGAACAACTACTAGAGAGAAACTAGTGAAGAAATATTGCTTAAAATAAACACCCCAAAACCTGCCCCTACACCCAAGTCTGAATCCTTGTCTCATCAAAGCCTGGGGCTTAGTTTCTCCTTTTCCTCTTCTGGTTCTGTGCTGTAACGAAGCAGTTTCTACCTCTGCCACTAGAGTTCACACGAGAAGAAGTCAAGGTCTGTCTCTGCAAGGAGCAGAAGATCTGCACTCAATGCGGATGACAGAATTCATGCAATAAATGTGATTAATAACTAAAATCTGTTTCCTACAGCTGTGATTTCTAGTGTAGAAAACAGCTTTGATCGTGTTTTAAAATTATACTGGAAAGAACAAAAAAGTGATCTGGTTTGTTGTTTCTTAAGTCCATTTTTGGCCAAATTCACCAAGGCATTTTACACTCAGATCTACATGACGCAGGAAGCAATTGGCAATGTCAAACCTGTGTTTGTTAGAGAGGTGTTTTTTCCTGTAAAGAAGGATGAAAACCTAAAGAGCTTTCTGAACTCAGGAACAGGTCATTGCAGGCACTGAAGTGGAGCATGGGGAGAAGGCAGAGGTTTTAGCATTCTGTGATGTATACAGGACATGAGAGAGAGAGAGAGACTAAATAAAGAAGCCTTTGTGGAAGATAAAGTTAGTCATTTTCTGAGATACAAACCCAAACATTGTTAGACCAAATACAAAGAAATGAATAAAGCTGAAGTTTGACAGTAGATAAATATTTGGTTTCCTGAACTTGATATAATGTTGAAATGTCATCATGGACCAGATTATCGTTTCAGACAGATACAAATGAGGAGCAAATTAATATAAATCAAGATCTTTAGCAGAAGTGAGCTCAAGGTTCTATGCAAACACTTTGATGTTTAAAAGGCTCCTAAGGCCTTTACAAGCTCTGGAAAGAAGATTTTATCAGTGAAAAATGGCAGCTGTGATGAGGGTTTCCATTTTATTCAAGCAGGAATAAATTACATATGAGAAATTTGGTCCCTATTCACTTTGTGTTACATCATCATATGGCTGGGGTTACCTCAACATAGTTACAGATGATATTCCAGCGAAGAATGTTTTGGTTTTAATAAAGCATTGGATGGGAGTTTCCTTCTGATTAAAATTCTTTAATTGGGAAGTGTGACGATCCTGTGATTTCAGGAGATCTTTCTCAACTAGCAAAGCAAGTTACAAGCAGCTTTCTTCTCACTGCAAAGGGGTATTGCCTAGAAACCAGCACTACACAGAAGCAGATTTGAGGTCATAAATGCATACTTGACTGAAGTTTCTTTGCAACTGAAAGAAAAGTGCTTTACTTAATTGAGTCTGTTTTGTATGTGCTCTACTTTTTAGCCTGTTCTTGAACTTTCTTTGTAGGGCAGGAAAATGAATGCAAATAGTTAGATGCTTTCTTGAACTGATATCCTGAGCATTGTAGAGCCATCTTTAAAAATAGATATAACGGAAAAAATGGAAAGTGAGCATATTTTTTATGTGGAACCTATTGGCAAACTATGGCTTTCTGTGCACGCCCTTTGTACTTCTTGGAAGTAGATTGGTCTCAAGCAAAGGTCTTGCTATGTTCACCTCATCTGAGGTTGAGATGTTGCCATATAATTTTTGATCTTGATTAACACTCATGACACAACCTGCTTAGCAATGCTGTGAGGTTTATGTATTCTTTATGCTGAGATCATTGGTATACATAAGCATACTTGTACTTTTTCCCTGTTTTGCTTACATTCTGACTGTCACTTCATACATTTGTTTTGTAATACAGGTAATATCTGTACCTGACTCTTCTTTTTTCCTTAATCCAAAATTTGAATTCTTATAAAAGTTCTTGACTGAGCATGTCTTTTATGTGTTATGTCAAATTTATGCTTATACTGAAATACTTCTTGTAATCAAAAAAATTTTTCTCCAACTACAAATTCTTATTCAAGTTGTTTTTTTTCTGAAGCATTTACTATACAGCATTTACTCAGAGATTGTTGTGGTATCAAGAGATAAACTTCAGGTTTTCCCCTGGAAAATCAAATTCAAAGAACTAGTCTTTTGTATTACATTTTCTTATAGTACTATGGACCATGTAAAAGAACCATTACCTAATATTCTTCTAAACAGAAGGTGACTGCATTGTCAAAGACTGCTGGTGAGTAATTGCAGATAGTGTTGCCAGATTGTGACTAAGTGGGTACAAAATTTTTGATTAAATCATTTACAAACTAGTAATGAGTTTTCAATGCAGGTTTTTTTTCCTGTATTCTAAAATACTTAAAATGGACCTCATTTTATATGTGGACAAAGTATATCTGTATTTATTCGTAAGCAAATGCAAAATGGTCTCTTAGTGTAAGTGCTACTTTTTGGGTTTGGGGATGACAGCATCATTCAGAATGATCAAAAGGACATGAAGAATTAAATGATCAGATTCCACAGAAGAGAATAAAGGAAACTCTTATTTATTTAGCACAAGGTGTTGTTTACATAGTAACTTTGCATAGCTGTTGTATTTTATATACTTTCTCAGAAGGCTGTATTTTTCTCTCTGTGAATGTGAGGTCAATGGTGTTGAATTTTTGTTATTACTGTGACACTTGTCCAATTTTTTTTTTTCATTGTAGAATTCTTTTACATGTGACAAGAGAACACATCTAGTAGGAAATAGTGAGGCAGATGAAAAGCTTGCAGTAGTATTTTCAGTATTTTTATTTCTGTGAAGACAAGTGTGTTCAAAATTTCAGGTGGTGTGTGCTGTGTGAGTTTTTAA